GATTTTGAGAGCAATGAAGGTTTGCATGGTTGCTGGAGGGAGCAGTAGATGGTGCCTGTGATGCTGCGTATTGCTGAGGGTACACACAGCTGGAGCTGGAGCCTAGGAATTTTTCATGGGCCAATCTGCTCAATTCAATGATGCTCTGTCGCTGCGCCTGGCAGCCCAGGGGTAGGAATTAAGAAGGCGGCTTAGGAGATGGATCCAGGTTCAGGGGTTCGCCAGGAAAGAGCCTGACATCTGAGAGGCTTTTCAAGTCATTTAGCAGTTTTGAAGGATAATGGGTTCAGGCAGCAAGCCTCAGTGTAGGCTGGTTGGGCAAAGAGAACCTGAGGGATCCGGTGGAGCATAAGGTGCATGAATCAGGGTGGTGGGATGGAGGGAACGGGAGAACCACAGGATGGGAGGGCCCTTTAGTGGCATGGAGATGCTGCCAATTTCTCTGGAACTCTGAGAATCCCATATGGGCCATTCCATTGCCAAGATCCAGGTCAGTAACACAGACGCTCCTTTTTCCTTCCTTTCGGCCCAGCCACAAAGTTGATCTGCTTGGCCAGGAGGCTAAGAACTCTGTCCTTCTATCCCTCTATGGGGGATGGTCTTCTCAGTCCCTCCTGGGCTCAGTGTGGACCTCCAGGCCCCATACAGCTCCCCTCCCCCATCATGCCCAGGAAATTAGCATGTGCACTTTGATGTTAAAGGTTTTCCTGAACCAGCTATAGAGAATCAGAAAGAAAATAGGAAAAAGAGGAATAGGAGGACATTACAAAGATTACAGAATGTTGCATAGTGGTTGCATAGTTTAACCAGATATAGTTATATGGGTTACATGAGTTAACTCTGTGGTTATTTCTAACCATGTGAAATAACTACAAGTTATTTCTCCTTAGAAATATAATGCAAGTCACACATGTATCTTTAAATTTTCTAGCAGCCATATTAAAAAAAAAATAGTAAGAACTGGGACATGTGGGTGGCTCAGTCAGTTGGGCAACATACTCCTGATTTCTGCTCAGGTCATGTCCTCAGGGTCCTGGAATTGAGCCCAGAGTCAGACTGTGTGCCCAGCAGGGAGTCCACTTGGGGATGATTCTCTCCCTCCTTCTGCCCAGCCCCCTGCCCGCCGCTCACATAGGCACAAACGCACATGTGCTACCTCTCAAATAAATAAATAAATCTTTAATCAAAAAAAAAAAAAAAAAAGAGGGGCACCTGGGTGGCTCAGTGGGCTAAAGCCTCTGCCTTCGGCTCAGGTCATGATCCCAGGGTCCTGGGATCGAGCCCCACATCAGGGTCTCTGCTAAGCAGGGAGCCTGCTTCCCTCTCTCTCTGCCTGCCTTATGATCTCTGTCTGTCAAATAAATAAATAAAATAAAATAAAGTAGAGAATAAGAACAGGTAAAATTAATTCTAATAGTGCATTTCATTGAACCGAATGTATCCAAAATATTATCATTTCAACATGTAATCAAAATTTTGAAATTACGAATGAGATGTTTAGTGTTCTTTTTATTGTGCTCTACCTTCAAAATTTGGTGGATATTTTCCATTTATAGCACAACTCAGTTTGGACCAACCACAATTCAAGTGTTCCATGGTCACATGAGACTATTATACCATATAGAACTGGGCTGGAGTCCCTAAGTGACTGAAAAGCCTCTTACACTCCTGCCCTCTGCGTTTACTCTGAAGGGTCATGTTTTTAAGATTCTCTGTCCTTCTGAGCCTCCAGGAGCCCTGGGGACCCTTGCCTCCGTAAGTATTTCCATACCGTGAAGAAACAGCAGTACAAGTACGAGTTCATGTGTGGTAGGGACAAAATAAAGCTTTAAGATTCTGCCCTGGGTGTCAGTCAGCATTCAGGCATAGCTCTTTCACCAGAAACACGCTTGGCCAAAAGGGAGCTGAGTGCAATGAACATCCCTCCCCGCTCCACGTCCCACCGTGAGACCTAATGAAGAACTTTGAATGCAGACCTTCTAATCCACCTTTTCTGCTGTAATCACACACCAAGATGGAGGACTGGGGTAAGCCAGTTTCATCTGCTTCAAAGCAATCACATGAGTTTTCTTGCTGAAGGAACTTCCTGTTTGACTTTGGAGAGGCAAGCTATGTCAACAATCTCTTGTCCCTAAAGGCACAATTCTAAGGGTGCACCTATTCCTTCTGTCTCCCTGGTGGTTCTGAGTCATGCCGTTGCCTCTGAAACAGAGTCTGGGTCTACCCTGGGCCGCCCTCCCGCTTACCATCCCACTGCCTGAGTGCTCTCTCCAAAAGCCTGATTATAGCCGACACTCCTCTCTCAGCTCGACGCCCCTCTGGGAGCCAGCCCTTTGCTGCCTATGGGGTCACATTAAAGCCTTTAGCCTTGGGGCACCTGGGTGGCTCAGTGGGTTAAAGCCTCTGCCTTCAGCTCAGGTCATGATCCCGGAGTCCTGGGATCGAGCCCCATATCGGGCTATCTGCTCAGCAGGGAGCCTGCTTCCCTTCCTCTCTCTCTGCCTGCCTCTCTGCCTACTTGTGATCTCTCTCTCCGTCAAATAAATTAAAAAAAAAAAAAAAGCCTTTAGCCTGATGTAACCTAATGGTCTACCTCTGGGTAATTCCCTTCCATGCAGGCAGGATCCAGCTCCCCCACTCTGTGGTCCAGGCTCACTCACTTCTCACATACTCAGGTTGAAGAAGGTTGGTCTCTTGGCCTCTCTGATTCCATCCCCACTGCCCGCTGCTTGTTCATGGTCAGCTGGCTCCTAACTGTTCTCTGAGTACAATACTAGGATGGCCACTCTGACCTCTAGAAATGGCTGCAATTCTCTTCCTTGCCCCCTCCCCAAACACGTGTGCTGCCTACCCTTCCCCTCTCCCCACACACAACACACTAATACAAAGGTGCTGCGTGTAACAGACTTTTCCTGAAAGTTTGGCCGATATCATCGTGGGTCCAGCACAGACAGAACAGGAAAGGAGGCAGTTCTTATAATTCTCACAGCCATCATGGCTGTGGAAGATTCCTTAGTGGAAGTACACCACACTCCTTGGGTCTCTACTCACCTCATTGATTTCAGGATTAGAGCAAAGAGCCCTGACCTCTACTCTTCTAGAATCCCAAAGCCTTCCTCCAGTGCCAGCTGGCTTCCCCACAACAAGATCCTCAAAATTCTCGTTACTTGATGATGCAGAGGATTAGCTGAACTTATTCCAGATTGCAAGGGCTTTCAATGGAATCCTTGGGCCCCCAAGGGGTCTGTAAATGGAAATAACCAGTTTGTGGATTTGGGTGGGGAAAAATAGTACATCTGTATTAACCTTGCAATTATTCATTCAATTCATCTTAAATTATTCATCCAAGAGCACCTGGGTGGCTCAGTTGGTTAAGCAACTGCCTTCGGCTCAGGTCATGATCCCGGAGTCCCAGGATCGAGTCCCACATCAGGCTCCCAGCTCCACGGGGAGTCTGCTTCTCCCTCTGACCTTCTCTCTCATGCTCTCTCTCTGTCAAATAAATAAATATTTTTTTAAAAATTCATCCAAAAAGTACTCATTATTTTCAATAATCTTGAAGTGACATTTAGCATTGCCTCTGATTATGAGTGGAGGCAACAAACCACAGTACTTCCAACACTGGCATCAATAGAAATCACAGGTATTTTCCTATTTATTATACTTGGGCAGATATCTCAAAATGTGGCTTATACACATTATTATTTTGAAATCACTTTGAGGTTTAACATTTCCAAGATTTAAAATAAGATCTTATTATTTAAAATGTGAAGTGGCATGTATCACTTGACCATAATTTTTAAAAATTTTTTTCCGTAATATTTCAACGTAACTGGATTCTTTGTAGTGCTATGTAATTCGTTTCATGTATTTGAAAACACGATTTGGAAAAGAGATTCCACAGGCTACACCATCCTTCCAAAGGGATCAGACACAAAAGCACACACCAAAAAGGTATGGAACCCCTGTTCTAGGGGTTGCCTTTGCATCACCGCCCTCCCCCATGGAATTTTCTTACGTAAAATGTGTCTTCCCTGCTGCTGCTTCTCTAGAAACTGCTGCGGCTTTAACAAAGGTTTGGGGGATGTACATTTATTTAGCTTGTTAGATAAAGATACATTTCTATACATTTATTATGTGGGGATACTTCTGTCCTCACCCATGGATGAAAGTTAGAGCTGGCCTCATGATTGTCCTGGTACTTTTAAGGTAATAAAAGCTGCTCTGGACACTAATGAGAAGTCCAGTCCTCTGTAGTCCTCTGTAATGATTAAGGACTCTTCTCTCTCCTATGCTCGTGCCCCTGTAGGCAGGATGCTTGCCCTGGGAAGGTTGTGTCGTCCGTTTACCAAAGCAGAGACGGACCGTCCACGGGAGTGCCTTAATCCTTAATTGTCCCTTGCCTGCTGGAGCATTGGCCCTGAAGGTTTTCACCTGAGTGGATCTCTGGAAGTTGGCCTCAGCAAAAGAGAGCTACCTCCTTCCAAGGGGCATCCTTTGTCCAGAAACCGGTTAATGGGAATGGGGGAGCACCCTCCTTCCAAAAGGGACAAATTCAGAAGAGCCACCCATTCTAGAACTCTGTTGTGGGAAAAGTTGGAGCCTCTATAGCAACCGCATCCCAATTCAGCGCAGTCCTCTGCCAGATCCTGATCACACACACACACACACACACACACACACACACACACAAACACACACACACACCACTGTGGGTACAAATCCCCACCTGAGTCTGTACGCTGGGGACCCAATCTTGGCCCCTCCTTCCCCACCAGGTCCTTCTTCCAGTCATTCCCCCTCCTGCTGACCACTTTCTTAGCTTCGCAGACTTGGGCTGTGAGGGAGACGAGAAAGGGCACGGGAGTTCTAGTTGCGTATTTTCATCAGAGCTAAATAGGAATGGAAGGTGGTTAAAGCAGACTTTTCTCTCGTGTGAATTTTCATTGGTTCTTTGGAGACATCTCCTCCCGCTCTGCCTCCCACCTCTGGGAACCTACCTGCCCCAATTCTCATCGAAGAGAACATCTACTCTGATTATCTCTTCACTTATTCCTTGGGCTCCAGGCTTCTTTTCCCTGAGGGCTACTGGCCCCTGCAGACCACTCTTGTAGACAGAACCTATGACCCCTTCCCAGCCCTGCCCCTCAGGGACACAGTCGTTGCTTTGAAAACCTATGGAAATCACAGCCACTCCTTCCCCAAGTGAAGCCATTTCTTTGCTCTGCTGTCAAAGTAGCTGACCAAGTCTCTCCTCACCACTTAGACTTTGCAGGTAGAAGACAGGCACCAGAAAGAGGACACACATTAAGCTGAGTGGTGTTGCCCGAGAGCCCCCTCGCCTTGAAGTAAAGAAAGAAGAACCCCTTCCCTTTCCGCCTACGTGATGGTGATGAGAGCTTAAAGCCCCAGCGCACCAGCCACTTTCTTAAATTCTTCTCTTCTCCTCTTCAATTATTCCCAAACTTTTTACACCTCCCATATGCATGAGGAACTCAGTCACGTCACTGGTTTCGACCACCTCATTGATAAATAGGCAACCCACCCCTCCCTTTGGAATGTGGTATTTGGTATATCTTGATGCCTTAATTGAAACAACAACCTGTACCTGCTGTAGTCGATCTTCCTTTTACTCTCTTTTTCTCTCTCTTTCCACAATGTTGACCTCTATTGCCTTAATCTCTCATTATTCCTTTACCTGAAGTCCATGTTCCTGCCAAATGAGTCTACTTTCAAATTCACCAAAGGCCCCATAAATATTCCTATCTGCTCTTTCTTCAACATCTGTCACCTTCCAATGCCCTACATGTTCTCCACATGTAGGAGAACATGTATCATTTCATGTCCTGATTCCTCTGGAAATAGTACTGTTAACCATCCTTGTCATTGGTTGCCATTCTGTCCCCAGACTGAGCAACTGTACTCTGCTACTTTCTGATCTATGGGATGTCTCCCCCTCTTTCCAACAGACTGCAAACAGTGAGGATACCAACAGTGTTTTATTGACTAGAGAAGTAGACTTTTTAAAATGATACCAGCACATTCTCCACCTGGGTATTAAAGGAATAAATTCTTTGAAACACATGTTCTCTATTATGGGGCATGGAAGGGGTAACCTGAGTCTGCTCCACTGACCCAAGATAAGGGTGTGACTGGACTTTTGTGTCCTGAACAAAGGTGCCCTCTAACCCCCATGGTATGCAGGACTCATAATTACAAAAGTGGTAGAAAATTACAGAGGGAGCCTCTTTGGGAGAAACGGATCCCCACATTTCTCAAACTTTAATACAAATATATAAAACACCATGGGATCTTGTTAAAATGCAGACCCTGATTTAGTAGCTCTGGGATGGTACCTGGGCTTTTGCATCTCTAAAAATCTCAGAGATTGGCAATGTGGCCATAAGCAACATTTTGAGTAACAAGTATCTACACTTGAAGCTACAATTTGAGGTTCAACATAGCCAGAACCTATTTTGTGGGTTAGGACAGTGCCCACTAAGGTTCTTTGGCAAGTGTATTAGATACCCATTGCTCTGTAACAAAAGTATCACAAACCTAGTGCCTTAAAACAACACACATGTATTATCTCATGGTTTCTGTGGGTCTGCAATCCAGGTATGACTGGATCCTGTTTCAGGACCTTTCATGAGGCTGTAATCGAAGTATTGGCCAAGGATGGGGACTCATCTGAAGGGCTGACTGGAGAATGACCCACTTTCAAGACATTTTCACAATATTTGTTCTTCTAATCCATGAGCATGGAATGTTTTTCCATTTCTTTGTGTCTTCCTCAATTTCTTTCACGTATTCTTAGAGGACAGATTCTTTACCTCCTTGGTTAGGTTTATTCCTAGGTATCTTTGGTTTTTGGTACAATTGTAAATGGGATTGATTCCTTCAGTTCTCTTTCTAAAGGAGATATTTGAAACACACACATACCTGACAAAGGGTTAACATTTGGGTTCATCATCATCATCATCATCATCGTCATGTCTTCTGGATGAATAAAAAAAATAAAAGCTTGGTATAAAACTGACAGAAGACATGAAGAAGCATTTCAGAAGAGGAAACCCAAGTGACCAACAAACTTTTGAAAGATATTTAACTTCAATACTAATCAAGGAAATATAAATTCAAATCATTGAAGAGAATGGAGTGTACCCACTGCCCCAAGTTCTCATGCCTCCGTGTGTACGCACTCTTTGGTAATTCTCTCCCTCACGGGTCCTGGACTTGACCGTATCCGATCTGACGGAGACAAACTTGCTATAAACAGCTTGTTCAAGCTCTTGTATATTTCTGCTACTTCTCTTACTCCTCTGTCTGAGCTATGAGAACAAACCTGGGCTGTCCTACCCAGTGATGAGAGAGACCTGTGGAACAGAGCTAAATCACAAGCCCATCCTAGAGCATCCAACCCACTGGTCACTTGCCAGCTGTCTGCAGGCCATGAGCAAGCCCAGTGAGATCAGCAGAGCTAGCCCGGGTCAGCAGAACCATCCTGCCTAACCTTGGCAAGTGAGAAACAATAGATGGGTGTTGTTTCGAGACACTCAGTTTTCTGGAAGTCAGTATGCACCGATGACCAGCTAATACTGGTACTATTTTACACCCATGATACTGGCCAAATTAAGAAGTCTGACAATGCCAAGAGTTAGTGAGAATGGAAAGCAAAGGGAACTCCTAACACACTAGTGGTGCAAGCTGATAAAAGCTGACCCCTTTGGAAAATAATGGACCGTTGTCTTATAAATATGAAAGCACCTCATGGCCCAGCCATTTCATTCTTGAGTGTAGGTATCTGTACCTTTTTTTTTTTTTTTTTAAGATTTTATTTATTTATTTATTTATTTGACACAGAGAGAGAGTGAGAGAGGGAACACAGCAAGGGGAGTGGCAGAGGGAGAAGCAGGCTTCTCGCCCAGCAGGAAGCCTGATGCGGGGCTCGATCCCAGGACCCTGGGATAATGACCTGAGCCAAAGGCAGAATCTTAACTGACTGAGCCATCCAGGTGCCCCAAGATATCTGTACCTTATAAAAATGCATATTCCAGAGAGCTGCATAAGAATGATCGCAGCAGGGGTGCCTGGGTGGCTCAGTGGGTTAAAGCCTCTGCCTTCGGCTCAGGGTGATCCCAGGGTCCTGGGATCAAGCCCCGCATTGGGCTCTCTGCTCCTTGGGGAGCCTGCTTCCTCCTATCTCTCTGCCTGCCTCTCTGCCTAGTTGTGATTTCTCTCTGTCAAATAAATAAAATATTAAAAAAAAAAGAATGTTCACAGCAATATTGTTTGTAATAGCCAAAAATGCAAACAATCCAAGTATCTAACATCATAAAGGAGAAATAATTTGTAGTATTTAGATAAAATGGAGCAGTAAAGGGGAAGAAATGAAAACAAAATGTATCAATATGGATTAATCTCACAGACATAATATTGAGTGAAAAAAAACACATAGCAGAAGATTATAAACAATAGAATACTATTTATAAAATTCAAATAGATACAAAACTAAATATATTGTTTAGAGATACCCACAAATGTAGTAAAATTGTAACACAAATTATCACAAAATCCAGTAAGGCGGGTTCACTGGGAGAAGATAGACTTCAACAAGTTTGATAGATACTTTATTTCTTAAACTGGGTCAATAGATACACTGTATTTGTTTTAATTTTTTTTTTCTTTTAGAGAGTGTGTGTACACTCACGCGAGTAGGGGTGGGGTGAGGGGCAGAGGGAGAGAGAATCTCAAGCAGGTTTCACACACAGCATGGAGCCCAATATGGGACTTGATCTCAGGACCCCAAGATCATGACCTGAGCTGAAATCAGGAGTCAGACACTTAACTGGCTGAGTGACCCAGGAGCCCCCATTTTATTATTCTTTATATCTTATCTGCTATATATCCATCCAAAAGAATCTATTATCTGTATCTATCTGGGATCCACTCTTTTGAAACTGTAAAAAGTAAAGAGGCAGGGTCGCCTGGGTGGCTCAGTCAGTTACAACCTCTGCCTTCCGCTCAGGTCATGATCTCGGGGTCCTGGGATCCAGCCCCACATCAGGTTCGCTGCTCAGCGGGGAGCCTGCTTCCCCACCCCACCCCTGCCTGCCTCTCTGCCTACTTGTGATCTCTGTCTGTTAAATTTATTTATTTAAAAATAAATAAATAAATAAATAAATAAATAATAAATAAAAATAAAAAGTAAAGAGGTAGAGAGAATTGGAAGCATGCCTCTTTAACTGTGTCTCCATCACTATTGTCGGAGGTACAAAGCAGAGCCCAGGGGATCTCACCAACACTGTCCTTCTTTGATGTCCTCATCCGGGAAGGATGAAAGGTATATGCTTTATTTCCTGCTGGGTTTCCCCACCCCCCCAAAAAATTAACAGTTTCCAAAATATTTCACTTTGTTATTGTAAGCCCATGCCCTTTCATGGTGACCTCAGATGACATTTTTTCCAAGCGCGTGAGTAGCGTGCTGCTTCCTACACCAACGACGATGTGGAAAAGCACATGATTACTGACTACCTGGAAGAATGAATATGAAGAGACAACATTCCCCAAACACAGGAGAGCTACAATTCTCTCAAGTGTCCAAGTTACTCCCTAATGTAGGAGAGGCTAGACTTTTCAGAGGCTAGGGTTGCTTTTAACTTGCAATCAGTCAGCTGATATCTACCTCAAGCTTTGAAATGTGCTGGATGGTGAGGGTACAAAAATATATAAGCCCATACCCAAGAGAATTGAAAACATATATCGGCACAAAAACATATACAAGAATGTTCATAGAACCATTATTCTAAGAGCTAAAAAATGGAAAGGACCCAGATCCCGCCAACTGGAGAACAGATCAACAAAATGTGCTATATGCATACAACAGAATTTTTTTCAATCATAAAAAGAAAGGAAACATCAATGCATGCTATGACAGGGATGAAAATGGAAGACCTATTTTATAATTCCATTTATTTGGATTTTTTTTCCATTTATTTGGAATTATTTGCCAAGAGGCAATTCAATAAGGAGAGAAAGTAGTTTAGTGGTTCCTTAGGGCCAGGGAAACCAGAGGGGTGATGGGACTGACTGCTAATGGGTATGGGGTTTCTTTCATAGGCGATGGAAAATGTTCTGGAATTAGATAACGGTGGTGGTTGCACAACTTTGTGGGTATACTAAAAACTACTGAGATTTTCACTTTAAAAGAGATATTTTCTGGTACGTGAATTATGACTGAAAGAAAAATCTAATCCATTCTATCAGGCAGGATAGTGGTTACTGGTGCTGAAGGGGACGAGGACCTGGAAGCAAGCATGAGAGGACTTTGGGGTACCAATCTGTTTCTCCATCTGAGTAGGGGTTACACGGCTCAGTTCACTTTGAGTTAGAATTGTGCACCTAAGTGTACATTTGGGGGGTATATATTGTTAAGGGTTGAATTGTGTTCCTCAAAAAGATCTGTTCAACTCCTGCCATCTCTGAATGTGACCTTATTTGGAATTTGAGTTGTAGCAGGTGTAATTGGTTAAGAGGAGGTCACACAAGAACAGAGGGAGACCTTCATGCTTATGACCTGTGTCCTAGTAGAGGGGGAGGAGAGGGACAGACGCAGGAGGAACACAGCCCTGTGAAGATGGTGGCAGAGGGCGAACTCACGCTGCTACAAACCAGGGCGAGTCTGAGATTACCAGAACCTGGAGGAAGCAAGAAAGTCTCTCTTTTTTTTTTTTTTTTTTTTTAAAGATTTTATTTATTTATTTGTCAGAGAGAGAGAGGGAGAGAGAGCAAGCACAGGCAGACAGAATGGCAGGCAGAGGCAGAGGGAGAAGCAGGCTCCCCAATGAGCAAGGAGCCCGATGTGGGACTCGATCCCAGGATGCTGGGATCATGACCTGAGCCGAAGGCAGCTGCTTAACCAACTGAGCCACCCAGGCGTCCCAAGAAAGTCTCTCTTGATATCACACTTCGTGCTTCCAGAACAATGAGAGAATAAATTTCTGTTGTTTTAAGCCACCAAGTCTGTGGTACTTTGCTACAGCAGCCTTAGCAAATGAAAACATCTATTATGAATAGTTTTTAGAATTAAAAAAAAATCTGGTAAGGCTCATGCACTCATCAAATAGAATTTACTGTTGAATGAGCAAAGAGTCAGTCTTTGCTCTGGCTGGTGAGATCAGTGCAGGCTTCCCGGACAGGGACATGACTGAGCGGAATTTTGAAGGATTGGTAGGAGTCTGCCGGGTGGGAAAGGAAGAACTGTCACCAGACCGTCATGCTCCCCCACCCTGCAGCGCTAACACATTATAACATCATAAGATTGTTAATATAATAATGAGGGAGACAGGTACAAAACAAGCCAATGAACAAATAATGATGATACATTGTGGTCCTTGTAATGCAGAGCTCGCTGGACAGAGAGCATTCTCATGAGCTGGCCTTCTGGAGCTGTGTCCTAGGAGGGCCCTCTGAGGCCAGGGTCTGGAGATCGTCGGTGAAGTGGACAGCACCACACAGAGGAGCAGAATCGCCCTCTTCTCACTTTGGTGGTGCTGTGTGGCTTGAGCAAGACTTCTCTGAACCTCACTTCCTGCATGGGAGAAAGGAGATGGCCAGAAGGGGGTCTATGTAAAATCCATTCTCATTCTCATTTGGTGAAATATTTGTTAAACAAAGAGCAGCACAATTTGGTGAACTACATACAGCAGCATCCCCGGGACAGAAGCAGGACGGTGAGAATCACTAGAGCTCCACGGTACTCCACATGGATTTTTCTAAAGACGGTTCCGTGGAGCTGCTGTATCTGTTACAAAGAGAGCGAGTGAGATGCCTGGGTGGCTCAGTGGGTTAAGCCTCTGCCTTCGGCTCAGGTCATGATCTCAGGGTCCTGGGATCAAGCCCCGCATCGGGCTCTCTGCTCAGCGGGGAGCCTGCTTCCCCCTCTCTCTCTGCCTGCCTCTCTCCCTACTTGTGATCTCTGTCAAATAAATAAAA